GCCCAGCCATCTCTACCAATAACAGCATGTCTAACCTGGTTGGACGCTGGACTCAGCCTCTAGCTAGAAAATGGAATAAGCAGCACTGAAAACCTTCCCTCGGGGTAGGAAAGAAAATGAGAAAGAGGGACCAAGAGTGTGAGCATGGGGCCTACCCTGCAGGTGACACTAGTTACTAACCCCCTCGTAGAAAGTATTGGCATGAGCATAGTCCCAGTAGCAGTTCTTTGGCCATTGTGAACAGAGTTGTTGTAAGAGCCTGCTCCGGGGTTGTCTCCAGGGCTGGCAAGCACCATTCTCAGGAGATGTCCTTGCGCCGCTTGCTCTGAGTAGCAGGTTCATTCGACCCTGCTGTCATCTAGCTCAGGCTGCTGCATCCCACCCTGGGGAGGCTTAACGAGGACGGGGGCCTTGCCCAGACACTGGGCCAAAGGGTGGGAAATGACCTCGGCCACGTGCAGAGTAGCTATGTGCGCTGCCGCATCCTCCCCCCCTGAGCAGGAGAGCCCAGGCTGTTTGCTGGCTGCTCTTTCTTCTCCAAGCGGCTGTTTTAACTGGGTTTTGTTGCCCTGAGCCGAGGACGTTGCCATGTTGATAGCTGCTTTTGCGGCCTGTCTCTTCTGGTTGTCATGGTTACAGTGATTAGTAAGAGCTCAATCCTGAGATGGGGGAGGGGGAAAAGCTGCATCTCCCCATGTGCTCTCCAAGGGCAGCAGGTACATCTAATCCCAGCATTGCTCCGGCTTACGCCTTTGACAAGCATCAAGGAGCTATCAAATGACCAGCTCCAAGACTGCAATAGTTGCTCGGAGAGGATGCAGTACTCAGCCAGCTACTCCTATTAACACTCTAAATCAAATCTGACCAGAACTGGCAGACAGGTGTCTCTGGAGATGGCTGGGTCACCTCCTCCCACCTTGTTATATTTGTTCAATTCCAGACCGGGTTCTCCCTTTCCCCTTGCCCATCATTCCTGCTTTCTTACTGGTGAGAAACCCACTACCTGCAGGGCAGCCTGGGTATAGCAGTATGTCCGCACATCTCTTGGACACCTTCTGGCCTGAGTGCAGCTGTTCACATGCCTCAAGCATACCACCAAACTCCACATGCCATCTGGCTGCAGGCTCACCTCCATACCACTCCTCCCAGACACAGGCTAGGAAAATGCAAGCAGCCATACCCATTGCTTTGAAGGACCTGATCATTCCTTCCTCACACATCCACACTGAAGCCAGGAAGTTTTATGTCATAAGGCATGGAGAATGGGGCTCAGAGTGAGTTAGGGTTTACTGTCTCCTATTTCTACTTCGCCTTGTACTCAAGGCCTATAGCTGCCCCAGTGAGGCTGGGAGAAGAGAGATATGGCAGGTGAGAGGGGCAGGAGTCCCAAAGAGGAGCTTGCTCTGCAGGGTAGTCCCAACTTGGGAAGTCTGAAGGTGTGTGTCCAGGAGCAAAAGCCTGATGTGTCCTTCAGGCGAAAGCCAAACAGCGTGTGCCTGTGAAGGGCTCCACTTCTTTGAGATTTCTCTCTCATAACCAGCAGCTGACACATAATGAAGGCATTTGGAATGCTCCCGACTGAGGAACAGGGATAGTTGCTACTAAGTATGTGACTGGTTAAAAATTAACAGCTTCTGTTAAATTCAGTTGATCCTTGTAAATTAGCAATCCAACAAAGAGTATTCACTTCTAAGGCCAGTGACACCAAGCATCAGCCTCCAACCTGACAAGTCAGACTGCCCCACTAGGGTAGAGGCTGGGGATATTTAAGGTTTCCTTTAGCTCAGGGGTGGGCAAACTATGCCCTGGGGGCCGCATCTGGCCCTCTAGACATTTTAATCCAGCCCTCGAGTTCCCACTGGGGAGCGGGGTCTGGGGCTTGCCCTGCTCTAGCCAGGGAGCGGGGTCTGAGACTTGCCCCGCTCCGTGCGGCTCCTGGAAGCAGTGGCATGTCCCCTCTCCAGCTCCTACACATAGGGGCAGCGAGGGGGCTCTGCATGCTGTCCCCACTCCAAAGCGCCGCCCCTGCAGCTCCCATTGGCTGGGAACCATGGCCAATGGGAGCTGCAGGGGTGGCACCTGTGGACAGGGCAGCTTGCAGAGTCGCCGGGCTGCACCTCTGTTTAGAGGCCAGAGGGAGGACTTGCTACTGCTTCTAGGAGTTGCTTGAGGTAAGCGCCCCCCAGAGCCTACACCCCTCCCGTGCCCCAACCCTCTGCCCCATCCCTGATCCCCCTCCTGCCCTCTGAATCCCTCAGTCCCAGCCCGGAGCACTCTCCTGCACCCCCAACCCTTCAGCCCCACCTCAGAGCCCGCATCCCCAGCCGGAGCCCTCACCCCCCTCGGTTCCAGCCTGGAGTCCCCTCCCGCACCCTGAACTCCTCATTTCTGGCCCCACCCCAGAGCCCACCCCCAACTGGAGCCCTCACCCCCTCCCACAGCCCAACCCCCGATTCACGGCCCACCATGAAATTTCTGGACCCAGATGTGGCCCTTGGGCCAAAAGGTTTGCCCACCCCTGCTCTAGCTTCATGCTGCCTCATTTCAGTTTCCACAAGACGTTTCCCAGCCCCAGTGACTGGCCTCCAAGCCCTCTGGATCTTCTCAACCACCAGTGGATTCTTTCCCTGGTCTCCTCTCTAAGCTCAAGTAGGTTCTGCTAAGCTCACTGAGCAGCTGGCGATAGTCTGTCTCCCCACCCCCAGTGCAAGAATCAACTTTTCCCTGAATTCCTCAGTGCACTTGGCATTCCAGTCATTGCAAAGCAGATGGCAATTCTGTCAGGTGGATGAACTGCAGGAAGCAGAAGATGTTTTAAGAGAGGATCTCGCCAGCTGCCAGAGTGAGAAAACAAAAGGGAAGACCATGGAAGAATAGCCAAACCAGGCAGAGATGCAAGAGAAGTCTACCAGCTGCAGCTGTCTGTCTGGAAGCCAGCTCTTTAGGGCATGTCTCTACCCACCCACAAGACAGTAAAGCTTCCAAGCCTGCCATCTCCTAGGATCAAAGCAACAGAGTCAACACACTAACTTAGCATTATAGCAGAAGCTCCAAAACATGACACTGTAGGACCAACTGACGTCTGGAAATATGGATTACCATTACTAGCTGCTAATGGAGCATAATTAGATGCAATACAGCTCTGTCAGAACTCACTAGCCCTTCTCGTTAGTATATCCCCCCACAAACCTCCGCTATGCTGCTGGTCACCCACGTCACGATAGTTTTCTGGTTGTTACCGTCTTAAAGCCTGTATTTTTATCCTGTTACATAAGAAAAACCCCATACAATTCAGCATTTTCATATCAGTGTTTCTCTGAATAAAACCAGAACTCATTTTCCAGCATGCCAACTAAAATTCTGCACTGGAGCAGACAGACTGCCAGCCAAAAAGCAGCTTTGGTTTTGAAGTCAGCCACATCTCATAGCAGCTGGCAGGGTCCTAGAGTTAAGCAATCTGCGTAAGAGTTTACTTTGTACAACTCAGCAGAGCATGTTTCTGCAGCCCAGCAGCAACAGGAGTTTGTAGCTGTCTCCCTCGCTCCATTCCCTTCCTTTCGCCGATCATTTCTCACAATTACTCTGACAAGAGAACAACTTTTAACATGATGCCAGGGACGCAGAAAGGGACAAGGACACACTAACAACCTGGACCCTAACATGGCATGAGTAACATGAACACACAACCATCACACCTGGCACATGATTTATTGATTACAGAACATTTTCTACATTCACTCTTTTAAATCAAAAAAACATGTAGCAGAAGCAATCCTGGTCTTACTAGACCTCAGTGACTTCTTCCCCTTTCCCCCTGGGGTGAAATGGTTCCCATAGAAGGGGGTGGTGGAAGTGAAGAGACAGGAAGGACCTGAAAAAAAGTTGCAGAAAGCCACAAACCTGTTTTTTCCCGCCGTGTCAGAAAAGTCCTAAACAAACCTAGCAGATACACTGGAGAGCATGTGAACAAAGGGAAGCTACCATAATTACACTGGGACTGCAAGGGAGCAAAGCCAAGGAAGAGGGCAGAAATGGTGGAAAGGAAGTCTGTGCTGGAAGGTTAATTGAAAGGAGTCTTAAGAAGGGATCTACCTTTAGATGAATACACAGATGTACAGAAGGCTGCATTTTTGAGCCCACAATGACTTCTGTAGCTTGTCACTTAATACAGCTATATATAATCCTCACACAACTGACCCAATCTTATTTTGATTGTCTGCCAGATCAAAGATGGCTGGAGTCACTGAAAGCATAAAGTAGAGCCGTTGTTAACCAACACACGGTCTTTTCAAGGCATGAGTTTCCCTGCCGGTTAGTTCAGAACTGAACTGAATTGAGGAGTGCTCAGTGCTAAAGGGCTTCTGTGGGGTCATTCTGACACAAGCTCAAGAGAAGCCGTAGAATAAAGAACACCTACACACAATAGAGGGAAAGGGCTCAGGAAGTGCAGTTATTGGCCTCTCCGGTGCTCTCCTGCTTGAAACTGAGTATGGAGGTACGCACACACAGTGTTGCTATTGAGTACTCGGTGCAGCAGAGCAGCGAGAAATCCAAAGCTGTGGAGCCTCAGGCCGGGCCCATTTGTGCACTGGCAGCCACTGTTCAAGCTCAGCAGAGGCACTTTCTACCTGGGAGGACCATGCAGTGAAAAAAATGCATAAATCAAAACAAAACCCACCAGTATTTTTGACCCTGTCAAGGAACTCTAGGGTACGGATGTAGGGACCTGCATGAAAAACCCCCTAAGCTTATTTTTACCAGCTTAGGGTAAAACTTCCCCAAGGTACAAACTATTTTACCTTTTGCCCTTGGACTTTATTGCTGCCACCACCAAGCGTCTAACAAATACATAACAGGGAAAGAGCCTGCTTGGAAACGTCTTTCCTCCCAAACCCTACACCCCTTTCCTGGGGCAGGCTTGATAAAAATCCTCACCAATTTGCATAGGTGAACACAGACCCAAACCCTTGGATCTTAAGAACAATGAAAAAGCAATCAGGTTCTTAAAAGAAGAATTTTAATTGAAGAAAAAGTAAAAGAATCACCTCTGTAAAATCAGGATGGTAAATACCTTACAGGGTAATCAGATTCAAAACAGAGAGAATCCCTCTAGGCAAAACCTTAAGTTACAAAAAGACACAAAAACAGGAATATACATTCCATTCAGCACAACTTATTTTATCAGCCATTTAAACAAAACAGAATCTAATGCATATCTAACTAGATTGCTTATTAGCCCTTTACAGGAGTTTTGACCTGCATTCCTGCTCTGGTCCCGGCAAAGGCAACACACAGACAGAGAGAACCTTTGTTTCTCCCCCCCTCCAGCTTTGAAAGCATCTTGTCTCCTCATTGGTCATTTTGGTCAGGTGCCAGCGAATTTATCCTAGCTTCTTAACCCTTCACAGATAAAAGGGTTTTTCCTCTGGCCAGGAGGGATTTAAAGGTGTTTACCCTTCCCTTTATATTTATGACAGGCCCACAGTAAAAAGAGTTGGTGACAGCCCTGCAAAGCCACTCACATTGGCTTAACTTTCACGTTAATGCAGAGGTGGGCAAACTCTGGCCCACGTGACCGTCCTGCCTGGCCCCTGAGCTCCTGGCCCCTCCCGTGCTGTTCCCCCACAGCCTCAGCTCGCTGCATCGCCGGCACAATGCTCTGGTCGGTGGGGCAGCGTAGCTGCAGAGCTACGTGGCTGTAGCGCTGCCAGCCATTGGTGCTCCAGACAGCATAGTAAGGGGGCAGGGAGCGGGGGGGGGGGTTGGATAGAGGGCAGGGGAGTTCGGAGGGGAGGGGTAGTCAGGGAGGTCAGAGGGTGGGGAATGGGGGTGGGGTTCAAGGGCGGCAGGGGGCAGTCAGGGGACTGGGAGAAGGGATGGTTGGATGGGGCAGAGGTCCTGGGGGGGCAGTCAGGAATGAGAGGAGGGGTTGGATGGGGCGGCGGGGGGCAGTCAGGGGCGGGGGGTTCTGGGGCGGCCAGGGGACAGGGCGCAGGTGGGGTGGATGGGGCAGGGGTCCTGGGTGGTCCATCAGGGAACAGGGGGGTTGGATGGGGCAGGAGTCCCAGGGCGGGGAGTGTCAGGGGGCAAGAAGCACGGGGCGGGGGCCAGGCCATGCCTGGCTGTTTGGGGAGGCACAGCCTCCTCTAATTGGCCGTCCATATAATTTCCGAAACCCAATGCAGCCCTCAGACCAAAAAGTTTGACCGCCCCTGTGTTAATGTCTCGGGGAAAGGAGATAAAATAGCCATAGGATGAGGCCTTAGGAACAGGCAGAAGGAAAAAGTCTATGTTCACAAGTTGGGCTGGCAACTTGAACACCAAAGTGGAAGAGAGAAGTGCGTCCCACCTTTGTCATTAGCTCACACCATTGCTCCTACAGTCTCATTTGTATGGACATCTTAACAGCTCTAAGGGGAAACTTCAGCACAATGAATTAATATCCTAGACTTATGCAGACCCTCCTACACATATAGGTCATGACTCCTCAAGACAAATGCACCCTGTTTTTTCTTAATGAAAGGATTTAAGTTACCACTGATATCTGGTAGGAGATCTTGGAAAGAGGATACAAGTCAGACTCATGAAACAAGTTCTTCTTTATTCTGGTATTTATCCTGTGTTGCTAACAAGTTTTCATCCTAACCTAGTAAAAATATTAGATAGAAAATATATGTCCCGCCCCTACACCCGCACTTCTTGTTTCTTAAATAAAAGAATCAAAATTTCAAGCATGAGAATGAGACAGGCTTTTCTTTCAACACACTCCTGTGGTAACCTAAATCCTTCACTAGATACAAAATGTAGCAGCCCCAGCCATAGAATCTACAGTGCTGCACCAAGGCATTCATACTCCTCACAACCATCAATCTGTGCCTTCAGAAACACATTAAAGCAATATTTAGCACTTACCTGATACTTTTCATCCACAGAACTGAAAGTGCTTTACAAAAGTGAGTCCACATCATCTCCTTTTACAGATAAGGAAACTGAGGCAGAGGGAGGGGAAGTGACTCGCCTGAGATTACACAATTTAGTGGCAGAGCTGTGAATATGGTTGTTACTTATATCACTTAAAGGAAACGGTATCAACAGAAAGCGGAGATATTTTGAAGCACGGCTCTACCCCATCTGGAGCTCCAGGGTGAAGGAATGCTAGCTTGTGGCATTAAGGAGTTAATGGGAACTGCTGAGAACTTTTGGGAAAGACAGAAAGATACATTAACAATGGAAAAGGGTAATGAAGAGTGAAGTTTTGGTGAGAGAGGAAGCAGATAACTCAGTTATCTATCAGATACAGTGTGTTTTATCAAGCAGGAGACAATATGCGAAGACTCCCTGCTCAGAGCTTTAATAGAAAGAATTTGAGAAACAGATTGTAGGTGAAAGATTCTAAAACCATGAAATAGTGTTCTGGGCTGGAGAGGAATGAGGCACTACTGCATGCATGTCCTGACACCTCCCCCAGCAAGCGGCCTCCCAACCTGGAGTCATTTGTTGCAGCCCCGAGAAACTTCCCATCAACTCAAATACCCTGGGAAAGAAGACAAAGAAATATGTATTCTTGCCCTAGGACTACATTTTCCATAGCCCGGCTTTGAAAGCCCTTAGCAATCCTGCACAGATGCGGATGGACTACTGGTTACAACTGGAAGTCAATTCGATACTCAGTTTACACAAGGTCATATGAATTATTTCATCTGAGTCTCAATTTCACCATCTGCAAAATGGCAGCAATACTTTTGTAAGAGTGCTTTGAGATCCTTATACAAAAACTGCGTTATAGTGTTGAGATGGGGTTATGTTTGGGAGGAGAGAAGAAAGGAAGATAGAGCAAAAGAACTACACTGAGGGCTGTAAACATCCAAAGGACAGGATGGCTCAAAGAATCTGGTGTGGGATGTGGAGCCTGTCACATCTAGGTGAGGTATCCAAACCTTGCCCAGGTCAATAGTGACAAAAATAAGATTATCTGATGGCTATTCAGTGATATGTGAGATGAGCTTGTGACCTCGGGACTTTCTGAGCAGACAAGTGGCCAAAACGTTAACCACAACTAGCCCCCTTTTTGGTACCTTCAGCAGATATGAATGGGCTTTTAGTCTGAAGGGCTTTCCTTCGAGGGGGGCGCCCTCAAGGACAGTGCCCTGTCACAGCCCATCATGTGCATCAGAGAACAGCAGTCTCCAGTGTCAATCCAGCACCTTTCACCAGCCCCGTGTTTGCCTAAGATGACAACATTCCCTAGCAACATGCACATTTTTGGTATGCACACGTTTTGAGAAAGCCTATGTGCTACCTTGTAGTACAAATGCAGCAAACAATGAAGTGGTCTTCAGATCAAGGCAGGGCCAGCATTTTTATAAGCCTGCACTAGCTTAGACCCAGAGGCATTTAGGTGCACTTCTTCTGGATTCAAGTCCAGCAGCTCATTTTGCAGACATCTCAGACAATGTAGAAGTCAATCTTGCTTCAAGTATACAGCAACACACCAGCAAGATGTGCTTCAATCCCAGGGAGTCACCCATTGGCACCCCTTACCACCTAACCCCCAGTTCTCACAGAGAATAGGGTGTAAAGCAGGAGAGGACAGGCAGCATTAAGTCAGCAAAGTCAAACCTTCGGCTACAAGCTCCCAGCAATACACATGAATCCAAGTCTCCCCTTCTCCCAGTGCAAAATCCAGCCTAGCTGTCTTCTAACTGCAGGGGAAAGGCAAGTACAGCAACATTCTAGTGCCAAACAGATGCAGACACTATGGAATCAGCTCTCTCAGGTCTAACTCCGTTATCCCTGGTGACTATAACCTTACAGTTTGAGGCATCACATAGTAGTCATGGGAAAGACAAGGATGCCACAAGTCAGACATTCTCCACATTTACGTACCTGGCGTGCACCAAAGACTGGGGCTGGCTCTTTCCCATCCTGTCAGCAGAAACAGGGTGAGGGAAGAGGACGACACATCCCTGGGGATACATTCCTGGTCCATGCAGTGCTTTTCCCTAACTGAGGCACCAAAGAGAAAGCTGCTCTCAAGTTCCAAGCCTCTCTCGTGCATTCCTGCTGCTAGCTACCCACCAGCTCACACATTAGGCATACAGTCAGCTGTTCTGGTTTCCCTCCCTTTGCCACCTTTCATCTGAGGGGCTCAAAGTTCTTTACAGAAGGTGGCTCAGTCACATCCTCATTTTACGGTTGGAAACTAAGGCACAAAGATTAAGTGACTTGCATAAGAGTCAGGAACAGAAATCATCTCCCCTGCTTCCAGTGACCTGCTCTAACTACTAGACCTCCCCACTAACAGAGACCTTTCTCCCCTAATACCCTGCATATTGATATGGCTTGAGTGCACTGTGTGAATCACAAGAGCTAGTTTCATTTCCTCATAACAGTGAAGGTACAAATTTAAAAAAAAAAACCCACCACCATGGCTTCTATTCTCGCTCTGTAAGATGGACGACTTGTCTTGACTAGATGGAAGGGCACTGGTACAGAAGGAGTCTTGGAGAACTCTGCCTTTGCTATCACAAAGCAGACAAAGCAAGAGAAAAGACAACACTTCTTGGGGAAACAGGCAAGGTTTCTCAGCTACATTTTGTTCACCAATAGTTATGGGAAAAGACAGGATTTAATGCAACAAGGGGCTTTGGCAATATGAACTGGATGGTATCTATAGAAAGAAATGGTCACAAGACTAATTTCCGATCAAGATGGCTTCTTCAGAAGCATAATGGGATTCTCTTTCAATGGCTTGCAAGTGCCAGCTGCAGATGCTGGGGAACAATGCTGGTTGGTTAGGGCTTCCACGTCAGGTTCCTTAGGTGAGCAATGGTTTGGTTTCCTAGAAGGCATGAGTGTCCCGCTTTGGTGTGTCCATGATGGCAACAGCTGTCCCAGCCCAGTATTGTACTATGTGCAGCTGTGCCTCATGTGGAAATTAACAACATACTCTGCATTAGTCCGCTGCACCGAGATAGCAAAGGGCTCAAAGGGGTGAAAGGTGAATGCAACCAAGCGTCGTACTGTGTGATTGATGGGTCGGCCCAAGAGTCCTGCTTGGATTTCAAACTTCAGGAGGCCAGAATCCCTGGCATAAAATCTGTAAGGAAGAGAAACAGAGAATGCTGATTATGTCTATTCCTGCTCACTGGTTTTGCCATCTTGAACTCTGCATGAAAAGGGACAGGTGCCACTGATGACTGCTCATTATTCCATCCCTGGTATTTACCCAAAGGCATGCTGGCAAGATGGTGCGACAGACTCAGCCTGCCCTGGCCAATACGTAGCATTGACTAAGCAATACAAATGATGGAAGGTCATGTAGGGAAAGTCCCTTCCTGGGTAGAAGTTTTTAATCTCTAACTTTTTAACTCATTTTATTGCCATAAATGAGAGAAGCCTCTTGCAAAGAGCTGTATTTCACTCTTGCGGCCTCCGATTTCGGGATCCACAGTTAGAATAAAAGGGTTTATCCCTAATAAAATACATACTGGCTCCCTACCATCCCACTGTAACATCTCCCATAGTCATAATGGGAGTTACACATGAGCAAATGAGCAATGTCCACTTCTTACCTGAGCCACATTGCAGAGCACTTCAGGTTTGGGGAGCAAGGATCCTATCTGAGTCTCAGAGGTGGATCTCTGCATGGTAGTATATTGGATGATTTCTTTCCCTTTCCAGATCACCCAGACTTGTTGTGATCACTGCATTTGGCCATTAAGCCAAACATCTCCCATAGTCATAATAGGAGTTACACATGAGCAAATGAGAAAACAGACCCATAAATTTTAAACAGCCTTCGCTCTCCAACTGTGAGAATGTGTTGTCTTTCTCCTGTTCTACCAAAAAGACATCACAACACCACATTGCTGCTACGTGACTTGGCTGCTCGCACATCATGTCCCCTCACTGTATCCCCATTCAGAAGATGTATGAGAGCTACTGGACTTGACTTGCTCTAGGGTTCCTTAAACTACTTTACAGCCAGACTTCACAGTCACTTGCAGATTTTCAGTGAAAACTGTCAATGTAAGAGCCTGGGAGGAAGTCACTTAATGGCCAAATGCAGTGATCACAGCAAGTCTGGGTGATCTGGAAAGGGAAAGAAATCACCCAATGTACTACCATGCAGAGATCCAACTCTGAGACTCAGATAGGACCCTTGCTCCACAAACCTGAAGTGCTCTGCAATGTGGCTCAGGTAAGAAGTGGACATTGCTTTCCACTGACTTTCTGGCCCATAAGCAGAGCAGTGTTGGCTGCCTCTAAAGGGAGTTCTGCCTAGCCGTCCTTTGTTTGTTTGATCTTTCCTGTGTTGTGGAGGAACTCCTCTCCATGTCCAAGAGTTATGCTGTTTCAAGCTGCACCCCCCTACATCTCTAGCAGAACACAATGATCTCAGCAACTTCACCTTCCACCCAATACTTCAGTGGGTTCTTCTGATAATTTAGAAACCAAATGGCCTCCTGTTATTACACCAATCCATCAGCACTGGCCCTGAAGTTGGCTCAACTACTAGGACCTTTTTCCGAGCACAGACTCGTGCTGGTCATTCTGTCCCTATCGGTTTCCATTTCCTTCCTGCCTTGTAGCTTTTGGTTGTTTGCATTTGCCTCTGGTTTCAGCTCAAAATTGCTTTTGTATCAGAGCACATTCTTCCCAACACCACCTGCTAGCCTGATGCACTCACAGCTCTTAGGCTGGCAGCAATGGCTCCAGACAGATTCTTTCAATATCAGACACCCTCCAGGTTTTGATAATGCACTTAAGGAATTGCTAAATTCCTTGCATTTTTCTAGTGCGCCATTCTCCCTCCTCACCTGAATAAGAATGCCAACCAGCTGGCATGCCGATTACACATAAGAACGAAGCAAAAGAGTTACAATCTTAGATTCATAGATACTAAGGTCAGAAGGGACCATTATGATCATCTAGAAGTAGTTGGCTTTCTAAAAAGCTCCCTCCTACACAGAACTAGGCATGTGGGGGGTTGGTTTCTAACTAAAACGGGGCCTATGCGCTGCTCCTCTTTTCACAATTCAATGTAATTTAAACACACTCAAGATGAGCTCCCTGTAATCTCAGGTAATCTCAAAGATGTGCTCAGTTTGGTATAGTGCTCTGCAATCAGAGGCCATTTCCATGGACTCTCACTCTGTGGATAAACTAGGCACTGAAATATAAGACCTTGCGTCAATAAAAACAACAAGACCAGGCTTTTCAAATTGTACAAAAATGGTAAATTTACCTGCAGACCATTTCTGTAGGCTCCTTATTAACCCTTTAGATTTACAAGATTTAACCCCCTAACACAGAAGTTGCTGTGTTAAGGATTTGGCAGCCCATGCATCTCCCCCACAAGCTTTGTGGTTCCCTCCTGTGAGTTTGCTGCCAAGCCTCTTGTAAACAGATATTGGGGAAAAGGCCCTGAAGGCATTCCATCAGCAAAGAGGCCAGGAAGCAGGATGTTAACCACTCCAGCAGCTGAGAGAGAGGGCTGCTGCAGCCTTCCAGGGGAAGAGAGACAGTAAAAACAAGAGTGAGGAGGAGGTAAGCTAAAGGCAGCATGAGTGGGTGCCGAGTCGGTGCAGGACACAACTATGGGACCTCAAACCATGTATGGCGTAGAAGAAAATAAAATATAGATTGAGTGTATCTTGGGCTGCTGATGGGCTCTGTGCCAAAGCCAGGTGCATGGAACTGTCACTATAAATCCTACATTACCAGTAAAGAGAAAATAAGCTAATGCGTCTTTATTTCAAAACCGATTTCTGCATGATGGGCCGCTGTTGTATTTTATTAATCACTGTCTTGTGTGAGAGAAACACGGCAGCACTTTTCCAGCTGTTCAAGGGTTAAGGGTTACTTCTGCTATTGAATTGCCCTACATACTATAAGCAGGCAGCTGGGAAGCAGGAGCCCCCCCAGCTCCAAACCCCAATTCAAGTCCTGATTGACTCTGGCATTTTATAACCTGATCTTCTAAAGCGCAAAGCTACACGTCTACTCAGGGGAGAGAGGGAAGGTGGTTGTTTGCTTTGTTTATTACAGAAGATGTGACCATAGCAAATGTCTGCAGTCCTACTCCCTTTTGTCTGTAGAAGTGGCACAAATGTTGGCAGATGCGGACAAACACCACCCAGTGAGATCTCTGAACATCAAGTAGAGTGACAGGAAAAGAAGCAGATATTTCTCTGCAGACTGCACAGAGTTTGAGATCAAACCAAACCATACACGAGAAATCAATTAAATAGCTATGATTTGGGGATTGTGTGTATGAATGGTCAAAAGTTCCCAAATCTTAGGCAGGTGTCATGTGCATGGTGCAGGAGGGAATACTGTGGACAGCAATAAAGTTGGTGGTTGCGACCTGTTTCCCATCTCTCTGGGCAGAACAAGACACCAACCTCAGGGCAGTCACAGAGCACAGGATCAACTCTTCGATCTCTCTCTTTGTTCACAAAATGTAGGATTTATTTTGCTCTTCAAGCACGAAGAGCTGTGCAGTTTTCTGCCTTGGGACACTCAGCACATTTAGGCCCAAAGTATGATCTTCCTTAAGACGTTTTGAATCTGGTGGGGGAAGTGCCAGAATCCAAACAGCTATTCTTGAAATCCATTGCTGTGGCCAATAGACAGAAACAATTTGTGCATGCCCAAGATAGAAATGTGCAAGCTCCACCTGTTAGTCTGCAAGGAGCATTGCAAACCTCCCTACTTTCAAGGTTAGGCACAGTCCTGTTAATAAGGCACAGACAGAAAGAAGAAGAATCGCCCTTAGGTCTGACCAAAGCTTCTGCTGTGCAAGCAAGTTTCTTATGCATTATAGGTTTCCAATTAATGAGAAACACAAGGGACGATAGGGAAAAGGGGACCACGGACTCCAGTGTTTGTTAAATGAAGAGGAATAAAGTTCATAGTGAAAGATGACATTGGTTTCTAAGTTTCTCAGTGTGCATTACAGACAACGGAGTATGAAGACAGTCAAACCCTGCTGTGAATGTTATGGATAACATATAAAGATATTTAAACAAATCAGACCTGTATAAGTGCTTGCCAGCCCCACCTCCCAAAATGAACATTTTCTTGACGTGGCAAAGCAAACTCATACATTGCAACCATAGCATGCTGGCTGTCATATAGCAGAAGGCTGGAGTCTGGGAAGAGGAGGAATTTAATGTTCATATAAAAGGCTGTTCAAGTTTCGCTACCCATTTCTGCCTTTCAACATGGCCAATGCGCCTCAACTCCAATTTTGAAAGAGCCGAATGTAAATGTGTGTATGTAAAATAGGCACAGTCCATAGGAGAGAAAAGACAGAGCTTCCTAATTAACTGGTCTCTCTGGAATAATTTACACAAGGACTTTGATGGAATGGGACACAGGAGGGGAAAAGGCAAACAGCCCTATATGTACACTTCAGTCTGAGACACAGTCGAGACACATGTACATTTCTGAGAAACACACATTCAGTCCTAGCCATATGCAATTTTCTGACTCTTCTTCATACCTGATGGGGTGATCTCCACATGTCTTTGGCCGTTCCATGACTGACACCCACTTGTCATCATAACTGAAGAGGGAGAGGTCAAGGTAAGGACTGCCACTGTAGGACTGAGCGCTGATTGGGAGCTGACCCAGCAGCCTCCGCACAGCCTCTGTGTGCCCTCCATACTTTGCATTCACAATAGTGTCCTTAAACCTGGAGCACACAAAGGGACAGATTTTATTTGCAAAGCACACAGGTAAATGGCACAATGTAGATACATTAGTGTTCGAAAAGGACAGAGATAAAAATCAAAACAGCAGCAGTTTAAAAACTAGTACTACTAAATTCAGAAGTTGTATTTCATCTAATACACCATCAGTCTCAATTCTGGTAACCTTTTACCAGTGTTCTATTCTGTTTTGGAACTATGGACTGACAAGTGGATAGGAACTTGTCATTCCACAAGGTCTCGCTACAGCTGCCCAGCAGTACTGGAAATGTACAGATCAGAAACGGGGAAAGATGGATTAGCAGCTTATCAATCAATCCAGGTTTTATTGCAAAGATTGTAAACATTGTAAGTGAAGCCTGAAGGGTGTGCTATAACAGTTGAATTCCTGAGGTTAAAGGAGGACTTGGGAATCCATCTCTCCCCAGCCATTATGTTTTGATTGCATAAAGGGAAGAAACTGTAGAAGAAGAAGAACCTTGAAGAAAGAAGCCTGCAGCTGTTTAGCTCAGCACAGTCTGAAAAGTTCTTTCCTGTGAGAAGATTGATCTGGATTGGAGTTTTTCTTCTTTACAAGTTAGTAAGCAGAATCTGAGATTTCTGCTGGTGAGATCCAACTTTTTTTATGAGACCAGCGGTATAAGAGCAACTTATCAGGAACAGTTTATATTGGACTGTAAACTCTCAGGGCAAGGGCCTATTGTGTTTACTTATCTAACAAGCACCATACCAACCCTATAACCACCTCCGTTATAGGCTCTGACCACCAAGCAGAAGACTGAAGAGGTTTTTGCCTCTGGTTTCAGCTACAAAACAAGAGCCGCACTTCATATGTTGGCATTAAGTTCTGTCTCTCACAAGCAGTACGGAATCTCCAGTGGGAGTTATGGAAATATACAAGACGACTAAGTCTCCTTCACTTGCAGGGATTCAACAACTTGAATCAACAGAAGTCTCCCCTATAAGCAATGGCAGCAATGGTCACTATATAGTTCTGCTGAAGTTTAATAAGTTGTGGGAAGTACAAGAGGCTCTGGCACACTTGGGTACATCACCACATATTCCTAGGACCACATTTTAGAAACATCACCACCTGCATTACTCACATGACTTTAGTCTATTTACAAGAATTTTAGAAGCCTGATTTACTTTTATCTCTCCCCCCACCTTCACTGTGACACTAGACTGGTCAGTTTTACTCTCACACTGGAAAGGAAGGTCCCACTGAAAAAAGGAACAGCATACTTTTTGCTGAAATTGTAGAAAATGCCATAAACACACAGTTTTATTCATATTACATTTGGGGAAACCTGTCTGGCAAAATAAATCCCAAATGTGGTGACATTTTTGGTTTAACAAATCCTAGTTTTGGGCCCTAACTACTCAGAGAGCATCACTTAAACAGCCCCAAAGGAAGTCACAGCACAAGGTGTGCTGGCAGCATGCTTCCCTCAGAAATCTTTCTCCCTAGGGTTGAGTGCTTAGATTGTCCACTGTATATTTTCTAGCCTTGGTCTACCATTTACATGGCAGACCAAACAAGACAGTGAATGTGGAATACAGAACCAGACGTACCCTGCCTCAGCCTTGAGTTTTCAGCACATTTCAGAACCATAAGGCTGTGGTGAGATGTGCCATGTTCAGAATGGACTCATACACCAGGTCAGTCACTAATGAGCTATGTTTCTCAAGGTTGCCACCGCTATTTGATACTGGCCTTTGGCTGGCAGTGTTGAGCATGTACCCATATGGTATAAGGCATGCTCCGAATGGCTCACCGGCGCTGGATCTGTCTGGCAAAGTTGTTACTGGAAGCTGAGCAGGGAAATTGGACAGCCTCGCTGTGCAGGGTGGCATTCCTGAAGAGATCACAGAAGTTCTCAAAGAGTTCCAGTAGCTCATCCGAAGTGTTCTCGAACACAGCAATAACTTCTGTGGTCACCATGTTGTACACAACAAAGAATGAAGGCTGCAGAGAGTAGCAGAGTTAGTGGTTTTCCAACAGAGTGCAGACAGACAATACAGTGTCCATATTAGTTGGGAATCCCTCCCCCCGCATACACACAACACACACACAAAAGACTACCCATGATTACTCTGCAATGTAGGAGAATCTCACATTCACTATACAAATTCATTATGCTATTCAAATACCTCAGAGGGTACCAGATTATCCAGCCTATTCACGACAGTGTATTTATGAAGGGAACTAAATGCACTTTCAATTTTTCATTTCAAACTGGATGTCAATATTTCTGTTTTCTCTTCCTCACTCTCCACCAAATATAAAATGCTTCTTAAAGTGGCAGATTTAATTTTCTTTCCTGCTGGGGAAGTGATTTTAAACCAGGTGCTGGCTGGCAACAAATTATTTTTCTTGTATGTGAAGAGCTGAGAGCTTTTTGGGGGGCATTTACTGTTTTCCCCCTCTTAATATTTCCAGCATGCAGAGATGAGATTTTTTAGTGCATTGTGTTCCAACATTGCCTGCAAAAGTTTTACCCATTATAGAAATGAAAGTCTGAAGGACAATAACTATTCCTTTTTAATACTGACACTCTTATCCAAGAATTTCCAGGTGCCATTGTAAATCCAAAACATAAGTCAGGTACTTCTGCAATAAATCTTTCCCTAGATAAGGTTACTCAATCGTTAAAGACACTAACTCTCAAACCATGGGTGTCCAAATTTACTGGCCTTCAGAGCCACATACAACAATCTTCAGAAGTTCAAATGCCGGAGCACATCTGCTGGGAGCCAGGGTTGGGGCTTCGGCCCAGCTCCTGCTGAAACCCCGAGCCCTGCCAGGTGTGCTCTGCAGGGCTGATGCCCCAAGACCCACCTCCCCGCTGGACAGAAGCCCCTACCGCACCGTCCCACTAAAAAGGCAGAGGTCCTGAGCTTCCTCTCCTCCCCCAGTCTGGTAGGTGAAGAATGCGGGGGCATAGTGGGCTCTGCGAGCTGCACTTTAATGGTAAAAGAGCTGCATGTGGCTTGTGAACCACAGTTTTGCCACCCCGTCCCAAACCCAGATACCAGTCACATGCTTGACCTCTAACAACATAGTAGCACCTTTGTAAATTCAGATGAACTCAGACCTTAGGATTTCCATATATATTAGATGCTTGGGGAAGCTCTGAACATATTCCCAACCTATAGACTCCACCTTGCTATACTCACAATGCAAGACTGGCCTCATTTTACAAAAAAGCCCAGCTGCAGACACACCTCAAGACTTCACCCTCTAGGATAATTTGTGGGCTGGGGAGAAGAAGAATGAGGAAAGAACTCAGATGGGTCTCTCAAAATGGGACAGAGTTTAGACTATCACTATACCAAGCCCATGGCTTGTTAAAGAATTGTGTTGGTTTTGGAGAAGTTGGTCCATGCTATCCAGTTTTCTCTCTCAAGGGAGCTGTTACTGACACATTGTACTTAGACTATTCAGAAAATGGGGGAAATGGGTGGTTGCCAAATACCCACATATTACTCCCAATCACCTGAACTATTAGCTAAATCACCACCTCCTGAAAAAAAAAAGTCCTTCTGGGCTATAGGATTGGAGTGCAGAGGGAAGGAGAAGGGCTTGACTACCCTCGATTCATTCCTGTACAAATATTTACCACTTTAAAGATTGCAAAATTACACTTATAAGATATTTCTTTTACAGGGATCTCTATATTTACTGTAATTATGTGTCTATAGAATGTGCTAAACCAGAGAAACTTTTCTCAAATTATGTTTTAAAGCCACTTGTAGTTCCTGGGTAGGATGTTATGCTATACTTGGCATAAGTTAGGTAACCACATAGCTATTGAGCAAAACATAGTATTTCCATAGAACGCGTCATATCTCGACCCATCTGAATAACTGAGAATTCATCTTCCATACTTTCAGTATAGGTTCCCACTACTCGTGCTGGTGTTAATCAGATGATTGAGATAGGAAAAACCTACTAAATCATCTGGTCCATGTCACTGCCAATTTAAAGCTCAGATCGTGTGTGTGTGTGTGTGTGTGTGTGTGTGTGTGTGTGTGTGTGTGTGTGTGTGTGTGTGTGTGTGTGTGTGTGTGTGTGTGTGTGTGTGTGTGTGTGTGTGTGTGTGTGTGTGTGTGTGTGTGTGTGTGTGTGTGTGTGTGTGTGAGAGAGAGAGAGAGAGAGAGAGAGAGAGAATAAACCAGCCATAGATATTCAACTGGATCATCGTTTTAGGCCTCACTGCATAATCAAACAAACAAAGGAAAGGTTAGGCTCAAGTGCAGAGGAAAGAACAGAATTTTCACTAAATATAGAACCCTGCTACAACTGTCATAGAAACCATCCAAGAGCAGTGGAAGTGGCAGAGCATGAAGAAGGGACCTTGTGGCCAGGTTGGCAGATCTAAAACGTGACCATTTTTGCTTTACTTTGTACCACTTCTTGTTTATTAAGATGCATAAATATGTTTATCAAAACTCAGGCTTCATGTACAACATTTGAAAAACAACCTTTTAGTGAGTTTTAATAAAAATTAAAACCTTAATTTTTCCCTCTCAATGCACCCAAAAAAAACAGTACCCTAAGTACCAATCCACCCAACCCCTCCTCATGGAAACCCTAGGAGATGAGATGGGCCTAATTGTCAATAAGCTCTAGCTCCCTCAAATCAGAAGTAAGGGGAAAGACTTTCCACAACTGAGAGCCCTACACACAGAACAGCTTGCCACAGGTGCTTAAATCTAGAACCTGTTAACCAGTTATCTTGAATGCCTCAGCTGATCAGACTGCCAGAACCTACACAGAGCTTCACAGATCAAAGTCAATATCTGGAAGTGGACCCAGAAACAAAGGGGAAGCTCAGTTCATCTCCTGAGGAACTAGTGTAGTCTGCTGCCTGCCTCTGCAGCTTCAAGCCAGCCACAATCTGCATTAGCTGTGAAGTCTAAGTGGTCTTCAAATGGAAGCATTCTAGAGAGCATTGCAGTGACCAGTCACAGATGCCTGTCAAAGTCCAGATCCAAGAGAACTGGTTGCATTCACCGAATCAGGAAGGCTTATGATATTTTTGGCCACTGACAGAGCTCAAGACTCCAGGAGCAGTAAAGTGGGCCCCAAAACCTCCCAAATTGCAACCCACTTGGACAAAGGTTTAATATCTTTGCAATATCCATGTTGTTTATGTGTATTTGTTAGACAAATATTTCAATGCTGCTTTTACAAAAGACTCTCAATCCTCAACTACTTTACAATAATAAACAGTGCACACAATCTACAGCAGACTAATGTATGTGCACAATGGAAGAAGTAACACACAAAGAAATCTTCAAAGTGGACAGTTAACATCCATTCATTCCAATTTCTAGCCCTTGAAAAACAATGGGACAAATATTGAAGGGGGGGCGGGGAGGAAACAGAACAGTGAGCAATGAGCAGCACTGCAAGTTTAGAAAGAGTTCTTGCCAGACATTTTTAATAGAATTATAAAATAAGCAGATGAAAGGAATTAAATAGATTAAAAAACTTAAAGTAGTCTCAGACCATCTCACATGGATTGAAAACTGAAGATCTCTAGGAAAAAAGGCAATGACAAACATGTGTTATGGTGGGGACAGAGCGGTAAAGGATGTCTACCATAGAGATAGGCATTAGAGCTGGTCTGATTTAACTTCATTACCGACCTGGAAACGGGAGTAAACAACATTTTAATTAGAGATAGCAGATGATACTAAATTGGGGGAATTCTGCACCTCTACACAAGTGCAGAATTAATGTCCTCCGCAGATTTTTTTCCCCCTGCAAAATAATCAATTCTGACAGGAAGGCAAAGGGAAGTCATGTGAGGAGTCATGCTACAATTACATCTTTTGCCCACCAGGGGCTGATGTGCTGTCAGAAGAGAGGACAACTGGCTCATGAGCAGGAGCAGCCAACCATAGAGAGGGAGGGGGCAGATGCTGTCTTCCTCACAGAACCCTGCCTGCAGAGTCAGGTAAGGAGGCATGGAATGGGGTGGGGGGGGAGACAGAGAGTGGGGCACATGGGGCTGCTGCGAGGGGTCACGCAGACTGGAGTTCATAATAGCTAGTGAGGGGAGACAGATTGGGTACAGGAGCTAGTGGGGGACAACATTGACCCAGGGGCTGAATGGGAATGGTGATGCAGGGCCACAGGGGGATATGGGCAGCTATACCTGGCTGAATGGGAAGAGGGGGGTGCAGGGACACATGGAGACAGGGCAGCTATGCATAGCTGAGTTAGGATGCAGGGACACATGGGGAAAGAGGGGAGTGGGGGTGCAGGACCACACAGGCACATTTGCAGATATGCCTGGCTGAACGAGGAGTGGGAGTGCAGGGACACACAAGGACAGGGGCAGATGTACCTGATTGAATGGGAAAGGCTAGTAGTCAGCCAGGGTCTGCCTGGGGGAGGCTCCCAAACTCCCTAACAATTGCCCCCCCTCCAGAAAAACACCTTGTTCTATACTTCCCCCACCCATACCCAACAACACTCCAGATTCTCTCCCAGACTCCTTCCCTCTCCCTCAGCTCCTCCAATACCCCCAACTTCCCAAAGCCTTTGCACTGCTTTGGAGGGGTGCGGGAAAAACATTTCTGAATTGTACTTTAAATGAATTATTACTTAAAGTTCTGTATTAATATCACGAAAGCTTATGCTCAAATAAATTGGTTAGTCTCTAAGATGCCACAAGTACTCCTTTTCTTTATGCCTAGTAGGGAATCTATTTGTCAAAAACCATTTCCTGAATCTTTTTTGTTGTCTGTATTGTTACAGACATACTTGCTGACAGGTATTTTGAAATAAACTACCAAAATAATTGAAACTGGCATGATTCTGACAAATAACATTTCCAGAATTTTAAAATATTGTGTGCAGAATTCTTAATTTTTTGGTGCAGAATTCTCCCAGGAATAATTGGGAATTGCAAATACCATCCAGGATAGAAAGATAGTAAGAGGCTTTGAGAGATTAGAATTTAAGCAGAGAAAGTGAGATTCAGCTTGGAAAAATGTCATTACATCTGAAAAATACTCAAACACACATACCTAATAGGAAAGAAGCATCTGGAAAGCAGTAATGGCTTAGAGATCCAACTATGCAGTACAATATGGCAAGAAAAAAAGGTCAGTTTGGGGTGGCACATGCAGAGTCTGTAGACCACAGAGTAGGGAAATTAACAGTTCTTTCTTTATATTACTCTGGCATGATTGCCTCTGAAGCACTATTTAGTTCTGGGCACCCTTCAACAGAAAGAAACTGGTGAGAGTGGGGAAAAGGAACAAAATGATCAACAACAAAATGGAGGTGTTGAAATAATAAGCTAAATTAAAGGACTAATTGTATAGTTTGTATAAATTGGTTAGTCTCTAAGGTGCCACAAGTACTCCTTTTCTTTTTGTATAGTTTGTGTAAGACATCTGACGGGGAAATGACTGGATGACTCTCAACAGGTAACTGAAGGGTATATTTACCAAAGATGGAAAAAAGGTCACAATACGTAGGGTAGCACTTGAATATAATTAGGAATAATTGGAAGAAATTAAGAAAAATTTCCATTAAACTGTGAAATAGTCACCCAAGGGAAGTAGAAATACTGTCACTCGGGACATTTATAATCAGATTGTATGCTCATCAGGACAGAGACTATTTTTCAGCCTGCATTTGTACAATGCCAGACATGATAGGTCCCTGATCCTGACTACTAAAAAACAACAACAGACTGGACAAAGCACCAATAAGTGTAGTACAGGAAACGATCCTGCATTTGCGGGAAGACGGAATTGGATAACCACGTTGGTCTTCTCTCTTTCTAATTTCTATGAAGTTTTGACATTGAGAGAGGGGGAATCTTACTGAATCCCATCAAAGATACCACCAAGGCCCCTCACAACAGGATCCAAATTATATACTGTGTAGGTCCTAACAGAACATTTCTACCCAACACTCAAAGACCCAAATCAGCACTTAGACCAGAAATGTAGTTTACAGTATTTATCTGCATGAGAATAACCTCAACAAAGCAATAACCTGCCCAAAGAGGACAGGCCCTACCTGTGAAGGGTCTGTCACCCGCAATGTGACCACATCTTCACTGGTGTATTTAATAAACAGATGGCTCTCATCCAACAGCTGCATTTTCCACATGCGCAGCTGCCTCAGCTGATCAAAGTACTGGAAGAACCTCCTTTTTGCCATTGCACTCCCATCCTGCTCTGCCCTCCTCCACAGGTACACCAACAGTCTGTGTTTCAGAGAATTTATGAAGGGTTCTTTGTACGGGTTTGCCATCCCTGTCTGAGTGTCTCGCTGCACTTCTGGATAGACAGCGGACAGGGTCAGGAGATCATCCTCATAGCAGAAGCGACCTATAGTCCGTACATCAATGAATGTGCCCTCAGGCGTCACCTGAAAGACATGAATAGTCTGCTGCTGCACAGAGAGAATAGCCAAGATATTCTTATACAGGTATAGGCCCTGGTTGTGAGACAAGATGACTTTGTCACATTTGAATGTCCTTGTGTCACACAGTCTACCTGTGTGAAGATCTATGATATGCAGAGAATAGTCCTCCAAAGGAGACCTGGGATTAGGGGTCACCGACTCACTGTTGCGATAAACCTCAAAAAATGGGGGATGAGGTTCCTCAGGCAGGTAGGCAGCAGAGCCAACGATTACATAGCGACAGTCATCTGTGAACAAACTGCACTCGCGGTTCAAGTGCTCGCCATTGGAGGCCACATTAGTGATATGAAGCAAGACGAAGAAACGTTCAAAGAGCCGCCCACGGATGTTAACAGATCTTTGGTCATTGCCATTGGCCAAGATCTCGCCCTCATAACCCTGTAGGAGATCCTCTGCTGCCTGGCAGCCCTGATACTCGTAGATCTCCAGGGAGGTCTGGTCCGAGGAGAAAGCAATGAAGTAGCGCCCATCGGGGGAGAACTTGCGCAGGAAGCAGGGCGGCTTCTCAACATTGACCACAGTAAAGTTGGGGAAGACATTCTGGTGGAAGACCCGGACCTGGTGCCAGTGGGTGCCGGCCTTACCAGAGCTGATCCTTCGGCGCTCCAGACGGTGGATGACGTTCTGGTTCTGGATTCTGCGGGGCCTGATGGTTGGAGTGTCATGATCCATCACTTCATCGTTCCCTGGGAGGGAAGGAAACACAGAGGCCACTGTACTGGACAGGGAGCAGCACGATCCTACACCGGACCGTGTCGCGGGGGGGTACTGTCAGGGGGTCTCCTAGGGGTGCAGGGCGCCGCAAGGGTAACCCAGAGGCGAGGTGCTCTGGAGATGCCTGCTGAGAAGAGGGGGCGCGGGAGGCTCCCCCGGAGGCGGCCCCAGCGTCAGGGCCCGGGGGTGGGAGGCTCACAAGGTTAGGGGGCCCTGGGCGCCCCGGCAAACGGAGGTAGCGGTTTCCAGACGCCGGGGCGCTGCGGGGCCGCGGGCCCCCAGGATGGGCGTGCGGCGGCGGAAGCCGGGGGCGCTGGCGGGTGTCGCGCGTCTCCTCACCTCTCCGGGCCGCAGCGGGTCCTGGCGCCTCCGCCGTCCGGTCACTCTATGGCCGCCGCCATCTTTCCGCCAAGGCGGCGCTGCTAACGACTCCTCCGCAGCCTTGGTGACGAGAGCAAGAGGGTACCGCGCCAGCCCGGAAGGGCTTCCGGAGGCCACGGCGTCAGGTAGGCGCCGAGTGTCCGCCGCAACCGGCAGACAGTGGCCCCTGGCGGCCGGAGGAGTCACCGCGGGGCTGCGGGAGCCCAGGGCCCTTCAGCGCTGCCTTCAGGGGCCGGGCCAGCCCCGCCCCGCCAGGGACCATGGCAACCACGGCAGCCGGGCATTATGGCAGGTGGGCCCCATCCCCAGCAGAGCAGGGCACCCCCGACCTCCCCCCACCCAGGGCACCGGCCAGGCATAGCCCAGGAGGGAGCTGTGCCCCCTCAGGCGTGCCAGGCACCTCCCTGCCCAGCGTGCAGTGCCCACCCTAGCCCCTCCCCTGCTCCTAGCCTGACCCCTCGCTTTACAGCCATTGCTGGCAGACTCTGGGGGGAGCCTGGCTCTGAGGGGCATGGCGGGTGTAGGGTAAACGCCATGGGAACTCGGAACTCTCTCCCAGGTGCAGGCTCCCACGGCCTACTGGGGCCTGGGTTTCTGCAGTGCTGCCTGGGGCACTACCCCACTTCCCTCGTATGACATTTTGGGGTGCAGTCCAGAGCAGCGAGGGGCTGTGTCACCCCTGCCCTTCAGCTGTGGGTGTCACACAGTGCTTTGCTGTTGTGGCTTCTAACCTGGGCTCCTGCCAAACAGCCTGCAGGTCACACCCTGAGTGTCTGTGTGTCCTGGGCCAACAATTCTGACCCCAGCAGCCTGTCAGCAAATACCAGCCACGCTCTGACTACCAGCAGCCTTGATTACCACATGCAGGGTAACCCCAACACACTCCCAGTCCTGGATTTCCCCCCCAAAAATGTACTGCCCTCTGCTGGACAGATCAGATCATAAAGGTCTGTTGTCCCTGTAAAGGAACAATATACAATTTGCCACCTTAGTTGGAGTTACCCACACAGTTCACAACACTAGATTAATTTTGATTAAAGAACAAAAAAGTTTATTTAGCTACAAAGAAAGAGGTTTTAAGTGAGTACAAGTATTAAAGCGTTAAAGTCAAAAATGGTTATAAGAAAAAAAGATACTGTACTAAACTTTTACAAACTAGGCTTGGTTCAAGGTAAAATTCTTACCATATGTTTCCAACAACATTACTGACCAGTCTTCAGGTCAGGATCCTTCCCAAAGTCAAACAGCTGGATTCTTTTGTCTTCTTAAGTTCAAGAGAGATCGATAGGGAGAGATAACTTGGAGTGGTTTTGCCTCTTATGTGTATACTTCAATCACCCTTTGAAATGCATTTCCTTGAGAAAAAAGAAAAGGAGTACTTGTGGCACCTTAGAGACTAACCAATTTATTTGAGCATGAGCTTTCGTGAGCCACAGCTCACTTCATCAGGACATATCTGATGAAGTGAGCTGTGGCTCACGAAAGCTCATGCTCAAATAAATTGGTTAGTCTCTAAGGTGCCACAAGTCCTCCTTTTCTTTTTGCGAATACAGACTAACACGGCTGTTCCTCTGAAACATTTCCTTGAGAGTGACCCTTGGGCCTTGCCTACACTGCCACTTTACAGCGCTGCAACTTTCTTGCTCAGGGGTGTGAAAAAACACCCCCTGAATGCTGCAAGTTTCAGCACTGTAAAGTGGCAGAGTAGACAGTGCACCAGCAGCTCCCAGCGGTGGTAGCTATTCCCCTCGTGGAGGTGGAGTGCCGCAACTACACAGCTGGTGCCACGACAACACAGGCACGTTAAAGCGCCACCATGGCAGCGCTTTAACATTGCAAATGAAGACATATCCTTAGATAACGTTCTTTCCAGTCAGAAGAAAAGGAGGACTAGTGACACCTTAGAGACTAACCAATTGATTTGAGCCTAAGCTTTTGTGAGCTACAGCTCACTTCATCGGATGCATTCAATGGAAAATACAGTGAGGAGATTTATATACACACAGAACATGAAAAAATGGGTGTTATCATACACACTGTAAGGAGAGTGATCACTTAAGATGAGCTATTACTAGCAGGAGAGCGGGGCGGGGGGAGAAAACCTTTCATAGTGATAATCAAGGTGGACCATTTCCAGCAGTTAACAGGAACGTCTGAGGAACAGTGGGGGATGGAATAAACATGGGGAAATAGTTTTACTTTGTGTAATGACACATCCACTCCCAGTCTCTATTCAAGCCTAAGTTAATTGTATCCAGTTTGCAAATTAATTCCAATTAAGCAGTCTCTCGTTTGAGTCTGTTTTTAAAGTCTTTTTGTTTAGGTCTGTAATCAAGTGACCAGAGAGATTGAAGTGTTCTCCGACTGGTTTATGAATGTTATAATTCTTGACATCTGATTTGTGTCCATTTATTCTTTTATGTAGAGACTGTCCAGTTTGACCAGTGTACATGGCAGAGGGGCATTGCTGGCACATGTGGAGAGCAAGGAGACATCAAGTGTGTGGGGGGGAGATTTCATACTGTTCCTTCTCTCCCCTCTGTCTGAGGGCTCTGTTTACAGCTTATATGCAAATTGAGGTAAACACACATCCCTTTGTTTAAGACTTGCTTGATCAGCTTTACCTAATGGTTACGTGACTTTAAACATGGGCCTTTAACATTATACAGGGGGGAATTTCATAACTTTACACAGAATGTTGCTACATACATTCCACCATGATATTATTGACCAGTGAGATATTAGTTTTCAAATGATACCTCATAAGGTGAATACACGAGTGCATTCCATTACACCTTGTCACAAACATGTCTTTCCAAAATGTGTTGTGGGTGTTCCCCCCTCAGGACAGGGACTGATGCACAATCCCCCTCCTGTACTGCCCCACTGCCTACTTTCTTCAGTCCAGCTCTCATTGGCCATCTGCCATGGAGCCTTCCTGACCCTTCACTTTCCAGCATTACCTCCCCTCCTGGTAAAGCACCATCGCCCCAGAAGAGTTTTGTACAGCCTGAATGCAGAAAAAGCTGATACTCAATGTGGGGAGGGCACACTGTGCCCCATTTCACTGCCCTTCTAGTCAGAGAGAACCATGCTGCTCGAAGACTCTAATGCTCCCTTCACATCAGTTCTCAGAGGAGAGTCCACCCCACCCTCCTCCCTGAGGATCGCCTGGCTTTGCCCACTCCCCGTAAGATTATCACATTCCTAATTGCCATTTGGGAATAGATTAGGAGTCAATGAGAGCAACAGTTTTGCTAACTCAAAATGTTCCTTTCTAAAGGATATGACCTGGCCCCTTGTGACCAGCAAATTCATCACATTTGTGATCCAAGGAAACTGGGAAGCCTGGTCACCTCCAGAGAAGAGAATCAAGTGCGTGCTGTCACGTTGCCACCTGGTCCTTCAGTGAGGCAGTGAAAATCGTCACAGGTTTGAAAACCTTTTTCCTGTTTTGACCCCTTCCTTCGGTGGTTGGAATATCTCTCTCCTCTCAGTGAGAGGTTCTGCAACGTTCCTGTTGTGTATTGTGCATTTAATTCAACAACAGCCCCTGTGGTTGTAGGCTCTATTGATCATTAAATATGACAGAAGTGATGCAGCCTGAGTTGTGCCCCACGCCAGTCCCCAATGGATGCAGCTGACCTATTGTTATCAGAACACAATGCAATCCAAGGGTTTGGCATTTCGACCATTCGTATAAAACTATGAATATTGTGCCAGTGAAAAATACAGGTTCAGCAGTGCTAAAGATTGAAACCTCTATAGATCACCAGGGCAGGCAACAGCAGGCAACCATGTCCCCATGCACCAGCCTCTTCACCAATGGGCCATTTCAAAGGTGTGACAGATGAGTTCAGCTCCAGGGCCCAATGAGTCCTTGGCCTCTATGGTGGGATCCCAACAAGGAAGCCAATTTTTTTGTTTTTTCATGTGATCATGTTCCCAAGGATCTGAACTGAGATTCCCTCTTGCCCTCTTATCACTGAGATTAGACTGCACTAATGCATAATAGTATCCCTGCCATCTCTTTCCTTCCCCAAGGACCGGGCACTAGTTTTCCTGAACACTTTTTGATGAGATATCTTATCATTTCTGGTAATCAGAGGGACTCACTCATGCATGCTCCCTCATAGTGGGAGTACTGGAATAGAGAGGATGTTTCTTCTGTCACTTGGTGTCACCCTTGCTTCTTGATGGGAAGAGCTATGCTTTGTGTATCTCAGTCTTCCATTCTAGTTAATGGCCAATGACAACAGTCATTGATTGGATACCAATGGGCATTGAGTGGTGTAGGGATAGGATATACTTCCTGCTATCTTTCACTTCTGTCAGTCCCATCCCCTTGTTCTTAATGAACATTATTTTGTGGGAGGGAAGCAGCAATTAGAGGAGGCTGCAGATTGAGATGGGGTCTTTCCTGAGGTCAGATTCAGCAAAATGGCTTGGAGGGCAGAATTTCCCCTTCCTGTTTCCCCATCCTCTCCCATCCACAAGAGATCTGCATGCCTCACACATACAGAGCCCTGAGTTTGTTAAATAGGGACATCTCATTCTAGAGCTCAGACTGTTTCCAGTCCTCCAAGGACTAATTGCAGTTACATTTACATCAGCACAGGAAATGTGGTGTCCTCACCATTCTGCAGACTGCAGGCTTGTAACTGTTGTAACTTTGGCCTTAGTGACCAGATGGCCACTAGGGAGAGTCACCCGAAAATGAGAGAGAAATAGGGAAAGCATTGAGCTGAAAACTGACCCATGGCCTCCATTAGTGTAGTGTATGGTCCATGAGGTGTGCATGGCCTCCACGTTTTCAGAGCAGTTTGTTTGCAGGAGGACATGATTTTGTGATCATTCTATTTCATGGTATATTTTTTATGGGATTCACCTTCCAAATAAATGATTCCCCAGGGCAGTAAAATAGCAAAGAAGTGATACCATTCACCTTTCAGAGTATGGTGTGTGGCGGGGGGACAAACAAACAGAAAAGGTTATGGCCCACTCTGATCTCCACTGGCCCCCACAGTGGGGCCAAAGGGAGAGACAACTCTCAGGCCCATTTATGTTCCACTCCCAGCAGCCTCTTTTGTTCGCTCGCCCACAAATTGCAAGGCTGGCCCTGAGCTGAGCTGTAACGTCTGTCTCAGTACGTCTCTGCATTAAAGACATTGTGAGCGGCAAAACATATCTCGGTGCTGCGTGGAGCTGCAGGAATGAAACAATTATTGTAAAGTGCCTCTTATGCAAACACCTTCCTCCCAAAATAGCCTGAGAGGCAGAGAGAGGGAAACAAAGCAAGCAGGAATTTGGAGTCGGATTCTTTCAACAAAGAATCATCTGCCCTTTCTTGTAGTCATTGGGGGCCTCATATTCAAAAGTGCTCGGCACCAGCAGCACCAATCAACTTGAGTGAAAGGGATGCTCAGCGCTTATATCTGCCAGGCGAGATGGGAACTAACTAGAGCGAACGCTGCCCCCTCAGCCAACTTTCAGCAGCTGGGTCTGTAATTTAAACATACAGGATTGAATGTGACTGTCCATTCGGAGGCACTGGCAGAGCCATGCTGGAACAATACAATCTGACCAGTGTGGCTTGGGACTGTTACACCCAAATGAGGCCATTCCAGTTTATCTGCAGTTTCAGAGTTGCTTCTGTCGGCCCTGCTCCTCTGAGTCAGTGACTTCAGTGGGAGCTCAGCATCTGAGCAGATCATGTTTGTTGGTAGAACAGGTTCAAGAAACAATGAGCATGGAGTTATGTTAAGTCAAATTCAGCACTAGTGTATTTAAATCCCTGGTTGTACTGTACCCAGGTTACAATGCATTTCTATCCATTCTGATTGCGCGGAATAATTTCTCTCTCAGATGGTTTCTGATTGAACGTCAGCTGTTCCCATATTTCAGTAATGTTTCTCGGTTGACCTCTATGCCTCTTCCACCCCTTCTACCTCTCACCTGTGCTGTACCAGCAAAGATTATTTATAGGGAAAAAGCCAAGAATCTCCCTCTACCTCTGTATGCTTAGCAATTTCCGAGCCAGGGAATGAGTTTGTCTGCTCTCCTTCTCTGTGTTTCTGTGGTTTGCATTGTCATATGCAAACTTTATTACTTCACGCTGTATACCTTGCTCCACAGTCTGGACAGCTGTGTGTGGCCTCCCTTCTTGCACAAGTAAATAGCTGTCCCCTGGCTGCCTCTGCTACACTGAGGACCTCAAGATCTCCAGTCAGTGCAGGTCAAGCCTAGGCTTCACGGCTAGTGTTGAGTTAAAATCTGCTGGTATTTGATGGTGGGTGGTATTTTTCGACCCAGACTAAGGCACATGAAAATTTGTGAGACACACTTTAATATACAGCAAAGGCTGGTCTTCCGTGCACAGTAAACACCTCATCTTTTCAGAGAGATTGTTCTAATTCCAAGAGATGCTGCTGATGTTGCAGGGTGCTGGAAAGCGATCTGCAGCATGGTGAGAAACTGCAGCCGTCTGGCCTCCATTGCCTTGTGTTTGTTAAATAGGAATCGCTGCTTTCTCTCCATCCCCTTTTGCCCTTGCATGCACACAATTCTAAGGACACACTGGATTCTAAGGGCTGAATTCTGTCCTTTGGTACATGTGAGGCAATGTCTTTTATTGGACCAACTTTTGTTGGTGAAAGAGGCAAGCTTTTAAGCCATACAGAAAGAGGAGTTCTGTGTGACTCAAAAGCTTGTCTCTGTCACCAACAGAAGCTGATCCAATAAAAGATATGACCTCACCCACCTTGTCTCTCTAATATCCTGGGACCAACATGGGACCAACATGGCTACAACTACACGGCATACTTTCATGCGTGTAACACACTCATCCTGAAGACAGGAGGAGCTTTGCCTGAGGATTTCAGGGCTGGTCCCACAGTCCCTCCAAAAAGCTTTACTCACTGCCTTACTCTTTGGAGGTCTGGTCAGTCTTCCCCCAGATCTCAGGGTTGCACATGCTGTGAGATTCAGTCATAGCTGATTCACGGAAGTAATTTCTCAGAGTACTGACTTTCTGCAAAACCTTCCATCCAAACAAACAAGCTACAAAATGTATTCTGCCCAAACTCCTCCTCTGCCAGTCTGTATCCTTGAACACTGACCTCTCTAGTGGCACAGGCCCTTGTCTAAAACAGTTCCTATACAAACCATCTTTTCATTTAACTCAGTACCACTCCATCTTGCCCTCCTCATGTTTCTTTCAAACCACATCCAACTCACCCAGGGCTCATAAGCTCACACACAATTTTTCATAATGGTGTCTTCCCAAGAGAGTCCTGGGTCAGGAATAGGATGGGTCGTTACAGACCAGCATTTAGGTGCATTGGCTGAACTGTGTGTGCACGAGGGTGTTCCTGGGCTACACTCGGGGGATATTGTGGGGCAGGATTAAGGGGCAGTGGCAGAGCTGTGTATGGGGAGCCCAGATCCAGAACAGCAGGGAATGTTGTAGGTCACTAGTTGGATGTATTGGTAGTGTTGTGTGGGGAACCTGTTCTGGACTAGGAGGTCAGGATTGAGTTGCTGTGGTGTTGCTGTGTGGAGGCTGGAGAAGCTCAGGACTGCAACAGCAGGGGATGCTGCTGGTCAAGAGTGAGGAGCATCGGCAGACCTGATGTGGGAAGGCTGCCCATCCCCTCTCTGTACCACACCTACCTTTAGCCAGTAGCTTTTTAATTCTTCACTTTCACAAGCTCTATATTAATATAGGCTTTAAATCAAATTGATTCCTTATTTTTCCCCTTCTCAACTCATTTCTTCCTATCTGTGCATGACATGGGGACTATAACTGGCCGATTAGCCTGGTCGGTGGGTGTCTTCTTTACCTGAGGAATGACCAGTGGGCAATGGGTTGCTCAGGAGGGGCAGCACTCGGTTGCTTTTAAAGGCCTTGAAAGCTTTTTGTTTCTCCTCAGGTTTGTGCAGCAAACTGAGGCTTGAGTCTGCAAGGCTTTTAGCAGCTCTTCCTCTCACGCCCTTTGCATTAGTGACATGCAGCAGCGGCAAGGAAGCGGGAGCGGGGAAGATGCACTAGAGGGACACTTGCCTTTTTTTTCCCCCTTTCCTTTTTTCTTTGAAAGGAACAATGTCAGGGGTCCCTCGAGTTCCATTTGCTGGCTGCTGGTCTGTCCTCTTTCACTCTGAGGCTGAGTGGTTTATTAAGCATTCCTGGTGCAGGCACTTTGAGCTACTTCATAAAGCAGGGATATAAGTGCAGTAGATATAAAAGAGAGATGGGACTCGGGGAGGAGGGTGAAAGAGGATGATGTTGAAAATGCTAGCATTCTTTATCGCATGGCCAGCAGTCTGAGTGGGCCCCTGCTTGCTGTAGGGTTGAGAGGGGATATTGGAGCTAACCTATCTATGGTCTGTAGAGAGCCTGTAACCGGGCCCCATATACAGATCCACCCACCACA